CAGCAAGTTATATTTTTAAAAATTAAATCTGATAGCAATTAAAGTTAGCCATACGTCTCATACTTTCCCAAATCTTTCATATTAATGTTAGCCTACAAGCCATTTAATGCCTCTGGCAGCTGGAGATGGGGAGAATTCAAGAATGCACGGTAAAATATTGGCTCTATTTATTAATTCAGTATAAATTTTGCCTTGGCTAGTGTATCGGTTTTCATTAAAATCTAGCCATATCTGTGCATTTCAATGTGGTGAGAAATTTAAGTAGTCTTGAAATCATGATGCAGCCAAAGGCATTTACATAACACTTGTGGGGCGGCCCACCTATGCCTAAGTCATAAGCAGTTGCGTAAAGCAGGCGAGCGAAGGCTTTCCCTCTGCTCCATTTCCACTGTGGCACGTCAGCGGGGAAGCAGAAACAGTTTGGAGCACGATTCAGTGGCCCTGCAAGCCTTTGCCCTGGCAGCCTCCGATGGAAGAGCTACTCCCGGAAATCTTTCCTTCATCACTCTCCTAAATTCCCTTTCTCTTCATCTCACGACAATGAACCCAGATCTTTGGCCACCATTTTATGTTATTACTTTTTTTTTTAAACAGGCTGTAAAAATAGAACTCCCTGATTTCTATCTCCCTCCTCATTCTGAAAACTGGTTTAAAAGGCTAAAATCTTTAGCCACTTGAGCTTAATTTGTCCTTCTTCCCCTACAGATGTTTCTGATGTCCCCCTCAGCTCAGCCAACTACTCAGCTTTTTCTTCATGTTATTACTGTTTCTTTTTTTTCTCTCCACCTTTTTATCCTTTTCATTATCAAGCATTCTTAGAAAAGATTATGTTAAAACTGGCAAGCTGATTAAAATGCATTAGTAGTAAATAAAGGGAAGACGTCTATATGAAACCAGTAAAAGCAAGGATAGCATCTTTCAGTATTCAGATGATTGCAAAATTGTCTTTGAACTTCGCATTGCTTGCAGTGGTCTCACTTCACTGGGAGATAATCCATATGGACTATGGAGCTATCATATCAACATAATATTCTAACAAAGTATTTCTACCAGTATTCAGTACATCCACATCAACAGCATGCAGCTTCAGAGGTCGAGATAATTCTTAAAGAATCACAGAATACGCTACTAAAAATGCAGTTTGGAAAAATACCCAACATTTAGAACAAATTTCCTATCTTTATTTTGTATTATTACAAAACAGAGAAGAAAACACCAAAACCAGGAATATTTTAAAGGCCACATGAACTTACAATTTCGCTTAGCAACAAATGTGTTCGTTTTTTTTTTAATTTAAAAAACTAACATGTATTCAGTTTTACAGGCTGATAATACTGAAAAAACTCCACTACCTGGCACAGCATTAGCTCCTGTATGTACTCAAGATGAAACTAATATAAGCCCTGCACATTTTTTCTTTCTGTAATTTACAATATTCAAATTCAAGAACTGCTTCTGACTTTCATTATATTTACGCAATCTCACACAGTTTTACTTGGTGGCCAAACTTGGCCTGTAAATGTGATTTTCCCACTGACAATACATGAATCAAAAACACAAAGTCTGCTTTGCACATTCGTGCGCTAGTTTTTAAGGACAGACAGAAAAGCATTTTTAAACTCATCAGCTGAGCAAGCTTGATACAGGGTTGAGAGGAAAGAAATTTGTAACAATTTTACGATGTTTTTTACACTAAAACAACACTTAAAGCATAATGATGTCATCTTGGCTCCACCAAAGTCAGCAACGAAGCTGCCATCAACTACTGTGAAGCCAGGACTGCAAACTCAGATAAGTGAATGCCAGATCTCGCAGACTTGCTTTACCTGCAAAAGTGCAAGTCGTCTTGCTCAGTCTTCAAACTCTATTTGATGGGCTTGCACACAGACTTCAAGCAGACTTTTGCAACACAAAATTAAAGCTTCAGATGCAGCCTCAGGCAGAAGCTCAGCCTTCTGTTCAAGATGGTTGCTTTTAGGTAACTTTGATCTGACAGTGACAGGACTATAAACCTTAAGGGAGGAGCAGGATCATGCACATGTTACAAAAACAAGTAATTTTTAAAATTAGTATTTTTATAGAAAAATAGGGTTTCTATATGGCTAATGGAGAGTGGAAGAGAAAAAAGCATGGGCTCACATAAGCCTTTTTCCTCTGTCTTAAAGTTAAGAAGCCAGATCAGACCAGTAAGGTACAAGATTAATTTCAAAGTCACTTGATGAATCTAAATTAATTAAAACAAATGTTTTAAACAAAAGATTGCAAACACTGTAGCCATACTTTTGATTTATCATAGTTTAAAGTCTGGTAAACGCTTCTCAAAACAGATTTAAGAGGCATGGTCTGTGTTCAGAAGAATATACAGGTTAACAGGTTAAAACATGGTATAACAAAAGCATGTGTAAGTATATGAAGGAAGCAGCTACAAGGACATGGTGACATCCCTAACGAAGTCTGTTGACAAAGTAAAAGCAATGTAAAATTAACACGAGTAGGTCAATATTTAGTCTGATCAAATGTGGCCCATCGTGAACACTATCCTGCTTTTGACAGTGGTCTGATGCCTAAGACTATGTAAAAAACCCAAAAAACAAATCATCAATGCTTCCATACTAGTGTCTGAGTTTCCAATAGTCCATGACTTGGCAACTTTCCAATATTCACAGATGATGCATTTCTATTTACTAGTCCTCAATGAATTTTTTCCACTCATTTTTAAATCCAGGTTTACTTTTACTTCACCAGGATAACAGACACAAAAATAAGCTAGGTTGGGGTTTTGTTTGAATGCATTAGTAAAACAGAGTCTTAGCAGACAGACTAAATGAATTTGCATCCCTACCCTAAAGGTGCAGTTTTGTCACTTAGTGGGGACCTAACTTGCTAACTCCACAGCATCCCAGATAGTCCTCTCATGGACTAGAGCAGTTTCAACTCATTACATGTCACAACACCAGTTTACGCAGGCAGGGCGAGAGGAAAACTGGTCTACCCACCAAGGAACAAGAGGTAAGAAAATCCAAACTTTTTTGTGTTTCTCTTTTTTTAATCTAAGAGTGAGAGTAATAGCAGAAAAATACAGCTCTGATTAGAAACCACCTGTATTAAAACCAGGACAGAAAGCACAGTTTGATGTAATCATTCAAAAAGTGTTTACATACTATCATCCTCATCAGGAAACACCATAAAGAAAGTGGAAGAAAATAAGTAATTCTCTTTTCCCTCCAAATGCAAGTTTTTATTTACAGAAACAATTTACAACTTGCAACAGAAAACAAATTGGATTTAACAAGCAGTATTATTTAACAGCAAGATATTAATGGTGCATATCATATTTTACTATAGATTTCCTGGGAGAATGGAGATTAGTTGAGCTTTATCACGCACCATAACTATTAAAGGTGTATTTGGAGCATCATATGCATTAAATAGCACAGTAAAACACGTTTTTAGAGACATTTTAACACACACAATTTTAAAAATAGGATTTCCCCCCCCACACACACACTTTTTGGAGCCCTTTTCTTTTTTTATTCAGAGAGTATGTCCATGACTATTACTTTCGGACACATTAACATTCTTTAAACAATAAAACAAGCAAAATTGTCAGCATCAGGCACCAGTCATCACACATTCCCCTGCTGTTCATCTCAACAAGTTTTTGAGACTTCTGAAATGTCAGAAAGCATTTGGCCAAGTAAAAAACAAAAAAAAAAAAATTAAGGCGGGTTTTGGAAGGACATAAAAGGTTGCGTGATAAAGAAAGCAAAGATCCAGAGTGGAAGATCAGCCCAGAGTAGACCCTGACAAGTCTTCCAAAATTCAGCTTTAGCATACTAAACAGCTTCAACTGCACATATTTCCATGGGGGAAGGGGGAGAAAAGTATATAGAGGTAGGGTTTGGTGAGATGATAGTCAAATCCCTTAAACACAGGAATAGTGATACAAAAAAGCAAATAAAAACAAACACAACCCTCCCTCCCATGGTAAAAAATAAACACACATAACTCTAAAGATTGATCTTTTCATCTAAGAGGAAATTTTACATTGGACCTGAGGTGTGGGAAAAAAAAATCACTGCACTGTACAGTCTATTTAAAATAAGAATCAAATGCAGTTCCTTATATACATATTTTTTGGATTCCTGACTTGAAATCTCCCTCTTCGTTTTCAAAATCCTGCTGTTACTTCTTGCACATAAAACTATATGATCTAGAGTAACAAGCACAGGGGTGGAAAGCAGGGATCTTTGTATAGTAACCTCAGCCGGATCACCTATTTACCAAACACCCTCGAGCAAAAATACTAACTTTAGTTGTCCCTGAAACAAGGACAAAAATGTTGTCAGACAGAGAGAATGCATGCATAACAGCAAGATGAGATTTCACCTTTGAATATAGCGACGAAGAAAGTGAAAACTATGGAAAGCTACATATCTGCACTCCCACTGCCTGCAGTCACTGATAGGAACTGGACTCTGACATGGAAGGCAAGGGAAGGAAGAGAACTTGAGACAGTATTTTTCTTCTCCTAATTTGTTAAAGAAGTGTCAAAACTAAATAGTCTGTGTTCAGAAATAACTCCACTGATAACTGTAACTCACAGAGGGGATAGTCTAGACTGCTGCAAATATTAAGGCATGTATGATATCATCTTTTTTTTTCCTCCTCCTTTTTCAAGTTAACATTGTAGGAACCACGCTCAGAGGTGAATCCAAATTCTTCAGATCCATATATAATATCTGTTTGGAGGTGTTCTTTTTGGGGGGTTGCGGATGGAGAGGAGGAAGATGGTGGTGGGACTTTTAAAAATTATTAAACCTGTGGTGTTTCATATATCTAAATTAACATCAGAAAGAAAAGGTTATGTTTAAAGTCTTAAATTAAGCATCTGTTGAGACCATAATTAATTATCTTATTTGATGATTTCTTGAAATAGAGATCGTAAACTTAACAAATAAGATCTGGAGGAAACATGCAGTCCTCCTTGGCTTGCGTACCTGTGTCACTTCCAGATCCAGTTGATAACGCTGGCATGATTCAGTCTGCAGAGTATCACGCAGGAACGTCAGACTAGCACTCTGCAGCCAGAAAGCAGAAGTTAATTTCAGTTTAACTGCTTGCAGCCAAGTTGTCTACGAAGATTTATGCTATCTCCCAGTTTCTCCTAGAAAGAACAGAAACAGAATTTTATAATGAAGAACATTGTTAAACTGTAAATTACTGCAGCTAACCAAATCCAATCATTATCACAAAATAAGCTTTTGATTTAAGACTCTCAAAACAAAATGCTTTGCATTTATTTATGACTGTTAAGATGTTTTCCCCCAGGTGAAACAAGTTTTGTTTTCTTCAGTCTAGCCTATAATCCCATTCTGCCGTAAAAATAATTTAACACATTTCTCATGTAAATTATGCTCTTTAAGTCTAGCATGTCAGGTATTTTGGAAATGAAGTCTAGGGTTATTATTAAAACACACCAAATAATTTAAGTCACTCAAATTTTGCTACTACTTATCCCAGAAAAAAAAAATAATACTAGCATAGTAATTTATTCAGTATTTCTACTTAACCTTCTTTCAATTGTTTTCAGTTCATTTAAGATCTGACATGCAATTTTTATTTGTAATCTGGAAATATAATTCTAGGGTTATTTTATTAAAACACAAAATATTTTAAGTCACTCAAATTTTGCTACTACTTATCCCAGAAAAAAAAAATAATACTAGCATAGTAATTTATTCAGTATTTCTACTTAACCTTCTTTCAATTGTTTTCAGTTCATTTAAGATCTGACATGCAATTTTTATTTGTAATCTGGAAATATAATCTAAATTTTAACTGAAATTGTAAAAAGCAGGACTGGTGCAAACACTTCTCTAAGGTAAATAGCAGTTTGATTAGTGGAGTTGATGGAGCCATTATCATGCAGACTGTGTAAGGAATTCTTCTGTAATTCATTACTACAAAGTATTTTTTTTTTTTAAGACATTTTTTAATAATTGCACAGTCCTACTGATACTAAGTTTTGGGTCTTTCTTTTAACCAGTTCTTGAGAAAAATTCAGAACAAATATAACAAAAGTAAAAACCAATTTCAAATGTAAGTGGATGTATTTAAATTCAGGTATGTTAAAATACGCAACTGGAATGCAAACTTGTGAAGAGAAATTCAGAGTTAAGACAGAAAATGATTACTAATAGCAAGGCAGGGGCTGATGTGTGAGAAGGAAAGGAGAGGGGGAAGTAGAAGCTAACAGAAAACAAGGGTTTTCTCCAGATTTTAGTAGACAAAAAGGATCCTTGAAGAAAGAAAGCAGCATAGTTCTGCTTTGGCATAAGAAAATAAACAAATAGAAGAGCATTTTGTTGCTGCTGTTGCTGGTTTGTTTTTTGGGGTTTTTTGGGGTTTTGGTTTTTTTTTTTTTAAACACATTCACATTAATCAGAATGACTTTTGAAGTCATCTTGGCTCTGAAAGTGTGTATATTGGACACATTTGTACTTGGCAACAGTCTTGTGGAAGAGTAATATACAGGTGCTGTAAACACTGTATGCTGTTCAAAATTCTGTTTTTCCACCAAAAAAAATCCCCACATTGCTAAAAGTATTGCAACATATTAAGGGCCATCCACAAGATTTTGTTTAGTAAGTTTTAAATCAATTACTAGATATAAGCTAGTTCTTAACTCATCCCTAGGCATAAGCCTATAGTTTAAATAGTCTGGCAACTTTTTAAAGTTCTTTTTTTTTCTCCCTTCTCTCCCCTAAGTGTTTACCCAAAGAAAGATTTTGCATGTCAGCTTTCAAACTCCAGTGAATCTGTTTTTTGTTTTAAGAAGGCAAATACAGCAGAAGTTACAGCCCTGGATAACTTCTTCTATGATGAAAAGGACTGAATAAAACTTAAAAACCTATCTATTAAGATTGTTTTAGGGTCTATTTTTTTTTGTTATAAAAGTTTGTGGTGAAGAAAAAAAGTAAGTTTTCACTAAAAACAAGCATCAGCTTCCAAACAAACATTTTGACATTCATCAAATCAGCACAAAGTCCATTAACTTAAAATTTAAAACAGAGATAAGGAAGTAAAGTATTTCAGAGTGAAAGCTCATCTTATGATGACAAAGTTGTAAAACATCTATATGCAAAGCTAGCCAGGGTGCAGTTTAAAAGAAAAAAAAAAGGCATCATAGCCAAGGACACGCTGTACCAATTAAGAAGGAACATATTCACTTTGTATTAATTCTGCTTGTTTTCTTTTTAACACATACAAGCGCCATAAAGGAGAAGTCATGTTCTAAGCTCACTTACAGTCCCCAGCGTGAGCACACCACTACTTCCGTACGAACGATGGAGGCATTTTTAGTTGTCACACGTGTAAGAAACTGGTTAAAACAAAGTTATTTACTATTAATGGGACATCTTTGATTTATATGCAGCTTAAAGTATTTTCATCTTTTAAAAAAAAATAAAAAACAAGAAAACAAACATGCAAGGCATTCTTATTATAGGTGCATTATTATCAATCAAATTCAGGTTCCTTAAAAAAAAAAAGTTCACCGAGAAACGTGGAAAGTCTTGTTGATCTACATATATGTCATGCATTTAAACTCAGTTTGTTTGTTTTTCTTTATTTCACGGTAAATCATTCAATATTAAAAAAATTCAAGCTCCTTATTATCTAAGAAACTTACATATGGCATAAAGTTATTCCCCCCAGATCCTAAATATATATTAATGAAAAATAAATGACCTGATGAAATCCTTACCAGTAAAATGCTTAATATTTTTCTGGAATGGAACAGGTTGGTTTTTTTTTTTTTCTAACTTGCAAATTAAGCTACATTTTTGCAGTGATGATGTTATTTTCTTTGGCTCGCTTTATTTAAAATGCTTTGGAAGTTTTTGCTGAAGCCCAGCCATAGGCATTGCTGACTGCTGTATGGAATCGATTTGCCGCAACACAGAAATACCAGCTGTTACAGTATGTCCTGAGAGGGATTACCGAATATTCTTAAATTGAAGTTCAATCCATCTTTCCATAAAAATGAGAAGCCAACGCCAGGAACGTAACAGCAGTATCAAGTGCACCTGAGGCATTTACAATACCCAGCAGGACTGTTACAACCAGCCTCTAAAAAGGGCTTATTTTTGAAATTTCATTATTCCAGTTGTACCTTGCTTCTATATATCACACCGTATCGGGTTCTCCTGGCACCCACCATGTGGAAACAGTGAAGGCCGCGCCGTCCTGCGACACGCCCTTGAGTTTCCACCGGGCCCCGCGCCCCCCGCGCGGCTCCCGCGCTGCGCCTGACACCTAGCGGCCGCGGGGGCGCCGGGCCCGGGGCGGAGCGCCCGCCTCGCCTCACGGGGGGCGCACCTACCCACGCCCCCGCCTCACCGGACGCGCACGCCCTGGAACGGAGCTCCTCGAAAGGTACGAACGCGCTTTCATTATTTCTGCTTTTAATCGTGTAAATATACTATAACTAATTAAAATTTAATAACACATTAAATAATTTTAATTAGTTCTGCCTGTGTTTACTTGCATAATGAAAGATGTTTCTATTTCTAGGGCTTTCAGGTTGAACGACACATATTAAAAAAAGCAAAACTAGATGTCTGTAAGAGGAACAGAAAAGTTTCCCTACCTTTCGGTAACTCCTGCACGCTATACAAGCACATTCACCAAGCCAGGCGCAGTTCTAGTTAGCTTCACCGCCAAGTTCATTAAGGTGACATAACTTATCGGGATGCCAAATCCCCGGTTATAAATAGCCAGGAGCAGGGCAGAAGCCTCCTGGGAACAATTTCCAAAACTGCAAAATCCTAGAATTACAGCTCTCCGAGGGAACCATTTTTCGGCATATCCCACAAATAAGAGAGGCCCCTTACCAAGGGATGAGGGGATAAATCTTGTTCCCTATCACCCATGTTGCCAATACAGGAGGGCTAGTAACAATGGATGGAGGCAGTCAGATAAAACGAGGGTGGGAGGCAGACAAAGAGTGCCAAGATGAACAGCCTTCTGCATAATTTTAGCTTTAGTAGCTTCTTTCCAGCATCCTCTGTTGCTTTTGAATGGAAGTGACTCCATTAGTCAGGCATGTATTTTATTTTAGTCAAGTTCATTTTTCTACAAAAGATGAGGTAGGAAAACTGATTCAATTTGTCTTCATGGCAAGCATCATGCATTTGGAGATAGCACGCATGAAGTCTTGGTTCTACCTTTGACTCGCCATCCAAACCTCAATAAACAGCGTATTATTTATTTCTGAAAGGTTATTTTACAAGTTACTTAATTTTTTGGCACTTTATTGAATATAAATTGATTTTCTTCACATTTAAAAAGCAGGCTGAATGCTTTTGACTGATTTAAAACACGTAAAAACATAAAAAGTATGAACCTAGCAATGTTACAACACAAAACCAGGTTGTTTGATACAAGAAACACTCAGCCTGTTTTTCTAAAGGATGCTACGGTTATGAAGACTATAACCTTGATTTCCAGAACTAAATCAGCATGCCTGCAAATGGTATTTAAACTACCAGGTAGAGATTTCATGTGGAGACAGGAAACTTGACAGCCATTCAGTCTCGTATTCATCGTGAGGCCTCAAGTAATTGAATGACTGGGGACACGTATACAAGTCCTCAAAACCTAGTCAGTACAGGAAATTGCCAAATGAGGTCTTCTAGACTGGGAGAGGTAAATCTGTTTTGATAGACAAAAATCTGAATTGAAAATGGTGGTCTACTCTCTTGGAAGTTGTAATGTAATGAGATCTATTGAATCCTTAATCTCTTCTGAGGAAGTTTCCACCTCCTCAATCACAGGGTCTCTGACAGGCTACTAGAACCTACTGGCAGCTCCTGATGGGCTTCCAAAGCTGGTCAGCCACCCTTGCGTTGCACGTTGTCAACAGGAACCCACAAAACATCTTGAACTGGAACTAATGCAGAGAGGACGCAGCGCACAAACGTGATGGGACTTCAGAGGCACTACAGAAGCAAGAAGCTGCCTCTGACTCACTCAGCTGTGGGTATAATGGAAATGTAAAGTGTGGCAAAACACTCTGGGTATAGAGTCCAATAAAAAAATAGGAATATCTATGGCAACTACCAAATGTTAGAGAACGTGGACTGTCCCAAACTGAAAAGGAC